CTGGGGTCCTTGGACGACTCAGCCTACAAGATCCTCTGTTGTGAAACCAAGTCACAGCTGCAAGAGCCTGTGCTCAGGAGGGAAGTTTTTAAGGATGGGGCCCAACAAACAACACTTCTTTCCATATCCAAAGCATGTCTACACGCAGAAGCACACACTTCAGGGCTGGCAGATCAATCCCAGTGGAGAGGGAAGTGCAGTAAAATCCATGGTGGGCTCAGAGCTTCACTCATTTATAACTTTATCTGCTCACACATGCATCAATTCATTATAGCATTCATAGGGTGTTTGTGAGTGCTTTCTCTTTTTTTTCATAAAATATTATGCAGTTTATTTTTTTTTTAATTTATTTTATATCAGAGCATAGTTGATTCACAACGTTGTGTTAGTTTCAGTAAGTGCTTTCTTGGCGTCAGGTGACAGTCTGGGTTCTGGGGTTTCATGGCACATATGGGTGGAGGGTAAAGAAATTAAAGAGACAACTAGAACACAGTAGACTTTCAGGGATATAATGGGGGCCAGGTGGGGAGGATCCCTACCCACATTATGGAGGAGGCAAGGGCCCTGGGGATTCATCAGAAAGGATGAAGACATAGTTGGAGAATGTTTGAGGCCAAATGAAAAGTACATACAAAGAGCACAAGTGGGGCCTTGGGGGTGCCTTAAGAAGGTGGGAGTGAGGGGCACAGCATCTTAGAGAGATGGTGGGAGAAAGGATGCTGAACAGCAAGCAGGGCCACATCATAAAGAACCTTGAAAACCATCTTGAAGAGCTTTGTTTTGATATTTTCTAAATAGCGCTGTTAGCTAGATATCAGTGATTGTCACACGGTCCGGCAGCACTGTAAGGAAGAACTTTGGGGTGTTGTGCTCCAAAAGAGAGAGAAACCTTCCTCCATCTACCTTCCCCTTCATACATGAACTTCAGACTTGAATTGTGAACAGAGGCATGAACTCGACCCTCCAGGCTGGGCAGTACCATCCACATCCCTGAAATAACTCTATAATGACAGAAACAGATATTGATCAAACCCCAGATTACTTTCCATGGGAAATAAGCCAGCACGGGAGATAACTTAAAGGAGAGAATAGAGATGGGCAGAAACCATGGACAATGTTTACCTGCTGAAGGGAAGGGAAGGGTATATTCAGGGAAAGATTTTTAAAACGTATTTTGAAGAGTTTTAAAAAGCAATTTTAAAAACATTTTAACATTTTGAAATACCAAAGTGTTTCATTTGTTTCTAAGCAGCAGGAAACAAGTGATCACAAACTAATTTACCACAGGTATTGAGTTGCACTCGATAATTGGCCAAAAATGGTGCTTTGCTTTAGAATATCTGTCCCCCAAAAACAACCTTTATAAATATTCTCAATGCAAACTTTTCAGGAACAAATCTACTCCAAAGAAATGTAGAAAAGTACCAGAGGCTAATTTATCACATGTGAAATTATATATGTGTAACTCTAAACGTGTTAGTTTTATGACATTTTTCCAGACTATATTTTAGGATCATTCTCTCTATATTTTTTTTAATTTTAGGTTTTTTAAAAAAAATTGGTACCATTTTTTTTTCTTTTTTTACCAGTTGGAAGGATTAATTGCCATTGATTTCTTTGAACACTCTTTAGTGGTTAGGTCAGCACTGAGACTTTTCTCAGTATAAATCCCTTAGGCCTTTTAATCACAACATTTGTTATATTCTGCACACCCTAAGGGGAAATAATCTCCTTAACAGTGCCACCTCCATCCACCCAGCAGGCATTGTAAGCGAAGCGAAGTGAAGGAGAAGACATTCTAGGTTTCCCTTAATTAATTCCCCAATCTACTGCTGTTTGTGTTGAGAAAAATCACAACCTAGCTCTGGAAAATAAAAAAAAAGTTCAGTGTGGAATTTTGGTGAATTTAAAAACTGAGCTAACTACTGCAAGGACCTAAGACCATCTTTATTTGAGAGTCGTAGATTTCTTTAGCGTCCTATCTGTTATCTGCACTGCTCAGCTATTTTGGTAGAAGTGTTGAGGGCTATAGAAGCAAATCACTTTTACTTTGATTTTACAAGTAATTATTTACGTGCATACATGATACTGATGCTGAATCTGGCCTCTGTACACCGACACCAAATTAAATCTCGGGGACAGAGTTTTGGATGAAGTAGAAAAGAATAGCTTTATTGCTTTCCCAGGCAAAGGGGGCCACAGTGGGCTAATGCCCTCAAATTTGTGTCCCAGCATGGAGGGGCTAGTGAGGAGTTTCATAGGAATGGTTCAAAGTAGGAGTGATCAGCTCGTGGACATTCTTCTGATGGGTTGATGGGGAGGTAATTGGGATTAGGCATCATAGGGTTCCAACCGGTCTGGGGTCTCCGTGCTTGTGGGCAGCATGCCCTTGACTTCTCCCACCTGGTAGGGGTTTCAGTATCTGCAAAAAGCTCAAAGGTATTGTTCTGTGTATCCCTTGAGGGGGAACCAGGACCCTGCCCCCAAGGCTGCACTATTGTTTCCTGACTGCTCCTCTCGTGTCTCTGCATCCCCTCCCTTCCCTGATTAGCAACTGTTTGAACCTGCCTGTTGGAACTCAGAGAAGGTCAAGGAGGCTGAATGAAGCCTATTTCCTGCAAGCAGGGAACACAGAAAAACTTTTGTGCCCAGGGACCCCACAGGGTCCTGCTGGTCTCAATACATGATAGGAAATTTCCAAATTATATCGTGCTTTTTATATAAGCAGAATGATGCTCTGAATTTTATCTATCAATATATATGTAAAAATAGACGTAAATATATACAAACTTATACATGCATGGAGAGAGTCAGAGATGAACAGTGGAAACATTGAACTGTCTATTCAGAATTTTGCAGAGAAGCTAAGGAAAATAAATGCACTTTCAACTTTAAAACCTGCTAATTGATAAGTGAGAACATTCCTAGATTTTCTTCCCATGAAATAAAGCTTAGGTGAGAATGAGTGAGTGTTTCAGCCCCTGGCTAAGAATGCTCTGTTAAGGCTTTAGAGAAGGGAAGATAATAGAGCTTGTTTTAAAGATGGGCAAAGTTTTTAGGAGTGGAGAAAAAGACGTTCCTTTATGGTTTGGGGGGTCGAGGGAAGAAAATTTGAGCCAAAGCAAATGAATAAAAAAAGCCCGCTGTGAAGCAGGATAGGAGAGTTACAAAGATCTGGGTTGGAGATGACACTGGAAAGGTGGTGTTGGTCCATAATAGAGGGCTGAGGAGTCTGTGCCCACTGCTAGAGCAGACAGGAAACATCTGGAAATTCTGTGCAAGGATGTGGCTGAGAGGTACCAGTCTAGCAGGAGTGTGGAGGATGCACTGAAACGTGGAAACGTTTGTGCTGAAACTACTGCTGCACTTGAAGGTTTGAACTGTGGTGATGGCAGTGGAGGGTAAAAGGGAAGTTGAGGTGACAGAGGCAGAGTAGAGGAACACAGTAAAGAAGATGGAGTTTGAATGTCTGGCTTGTTGATCACTGTGTGTCTCGGTGCTAACACAGGGCCTGGTACAGCATAGAAAATCAGCAGGTGTGGACCGAGAAGCTAGGAAGGTGACACCAGGGTTTTGACCTTAGGCACCTGGAAAGGATAATTCTGTCGTTAAGAGGAAAGGAAGCAACGGGACACGAAGCTGGTTTGGGGTAAATATAATCATTTAAACAGATGGAATGGGATGTGAGGGTATTCTACCCAAGGAAGAATAGCAAGCAAGGCAGCTCAGGAGAGAAGCTTGATGCTGTCGATAACAGGATTTGGTTGTCCTTCATACGAAGACAGTAAGTGCAGTCCTGAGACTGGATGATACAGTGAAGAAAGAGAAAACAGGAAGAACAAGTTCAGATTGAAATTTAATGCAGCTACCATTTAAGTTCATCTGCACACCGGGATTTACACGATCTCATGTAATCAGCACTATAATCTAGTGAGTTGGGCACTAAAACCTCACACGAACTGGAGGAACCCGAGGGTGAGAAAGGTAATGTGGCAGTTGAGGGTCACAGAGTTCCTGACGACCACATGCAGCTCTATGTCCCCCAGGGCACAGCAGCATCAGAGCCCAGGCCCAACGGGGAGGTATTGGAAACTGACATGGAATCTACAATCGTCCCTGAGAATTTCAAATGTAGTTTGGTTTGGCTGGATGTGACCTGAAAAGCAAGTGAAAACTAGACCACGCTTTGTCCCTATTCTCATTTCTTCATTGTTCATTTCCTGCTAAATTTTCCAGTTCTGCTAGTAACTTTCTGTGTATTTTCAGTCACCAGTTTAGAGATCTCATATCACAGTTCAAGCAGGAGCCATTGAAACAACTTAGAAGGGAAAGTGTAAATCTTTTCCCAGAAAGAGACCTATTTATAATTTTCTTTCTTGAAAATATTTAAGGGCTTATTTACGCTTTTGGATTCCTTTCTTCTGATGTGCATTTTTATATCACTCTTAGCAGATGGTATCAGGTCCAAGGCAATCTCTTTCTCCAGCTACCCCCAGGAGGCAAGCAAATAGGTACTGAATCACACTTAAAGTTACCCACACCCTGGCTTTCTTAAGTCTTTTACTCATTACTGTGATTTAACAATGAGGAAATGAGATAAATCCTAGTCCAAGCATATAGCAGCGTGTACACCAAGATGAACAGAGTGGACTTATCAAGGTATCAAGTCCTCAAACGCACAGAGCATCACAGAGAAGAATCTCTAATTGTTCTTCCAAGGAGGTGAGGGTCTGAACCAAGAAGGAATCAGTGTTTTTGAGGAATCCTTGACTAGTTCAGGAGTGGGGAGAATAAAGGTAAGCTCAAATCACAAATGTAGTGCAACTACTGGGACTAGAGATTTATTTTTCTATCAAGTAGAATTTAGACCTGTTACATTTCTTATAATAGTTTATTGCACTGAGATATCAGTTTAGCTCAGATCCAGAAACGTAGAGAGTAGGTTGATTTTTTTCAAAATAATTACTTCATAATTTTTCTCACATCGTCTTTGTTCCCAGGTGATAAACGTATTTCTGACAGAAACCTGTATTTCATCTTTTTTTTTTTTTTTTTTTTTTTTTTGCGGTACGCGGGCCTCTCACTGCTGTGGCCTCTCCCGTTGCGAAGCACAGGCTGCGGACGCGCAGGCCCAGCGGCCATGGCTCACGGGCCCAGCCGCTCCGCGGCATGTGGGATCCTCCCGGACCGGGGCACAAACCCGTGTCCCCTGCATCGGCAGGCGGACTCTCAACCACTGCGCCACCAGGGAAGCCCTGTATTTCATCTTTGAATCTCCAATCGCCTGGCACAGAACTAGACAGACAGTAAGTGCTACAAAAGGTTTGTTGAATGGATGCACGAATAAGGCAAATATCAAGGTAAAATTCCAAGAACGTGAAGCCAGATGACCTTAAAGCCTCATTTACCGTCTATACTTCCATCCTAAGACAAAGCTCACGTGGTCTGTGGTCCTGCTTTTGTCTCCATCACTAACCCCACCCCTACCACAGCACACATAGAACAAAACCAAAAGAAGTTGAAAGATAAAGTTTATTAAGACACAGATAAAAAGAGTCTGAAATTTGACTGAATTGATCAGCTGGATTAAATAAAATAGGCAATATAGTAAACACCGATACAACAGTGAAACAGCAGCTTACTCTCTAGACTATAATTTTACTGCTTCCTCCGTGTTGTAAAATGATGTTTCTCAAACTGTGACTGAGGCCATCAATGGCTAAAGACATCAGGGTAAGGGTTGCAGTGGGCTTTTTAAAAAACTCACGGAAGAGCAGTGAAGTGTGGTCAAGAGGTAAAAGGAGATTGGGAGTTTGGGGTTGACACGTACACACCACTGTATTTACAATAGATAACCGACAAGACCTACCGTATAGCACAGGGAACTCTGCTCAGTACTCTGGAATAACCTAAATGGGAAAAGAATTTGGAAAAGAACAGATACATGTATATGTAGAACTGAATCACTTTGCTGTACACCTGAAACTAACACAACACTGTTTGTTAATCAACTATGCTCCAATATAAAATAAAAAATTTTAAAAAAGAGGTAAAAGGAGAAAATTCATGAAACTTGATCCATTTCTATATTTGTAAGTGACTAGGTCATGATCACATGATCCCTAGGTTTGAAAAACCCGGATATGGAGGAATGCTAAAATAAATGATGCTTTTAGAGTTAGGAAACTTACATTTTTTCTAGATAAAAGACACAGGAGTTTTCTGCCTGATCATCTTCGGCAGACCACAGCTAAGCTCTGACAACTTGCTAGCAGACTGATTCTGTGAAATCACTGACTTGGTGTGACGATCGGCATAGCCTCACCATATAGAAGTCACCGCCGGGCTTCCCTGGTGGCACAGTGGTTGAGAGTCCGCCTGCCGCTGCAGGGAACGCGGGTTCGTGCCCCGGTCCGGGAAGATCCCACATGCCGCGGAGCGGCTGGGCCCGTGAGCCACGGCCGCTGAGCCTGCGCGTCCGGAGCCTGTGCTTCGCAAGGGGAGAGGCCACAGTGAGAGGCCCGCGTACCGCAAAAAAAAAGTCACTGCCTTTCGGGTGGCATTTTTTTAAAATACTGTAAAACATCGCTAGTTGCAGGAAGGTCAGGCTGATTCAATCCTTTCACAGAAAAGCCTGTTCTGTTAAAAGATCACATGAAAAGAAAAGCACCTTCGTTCCATTCTCACCCCTTGGCTCTCGGCTGGCAGGGGGAGGCTTAGTGCACCTGTTAAGCGCTTCACAGAATAGCGTGGAAGTGACTGCCAGAGGCACACTGCTGGTTTGAATGCAGATTGTGGCCGGAATGGCTTAACAAGAATTCGTTGACCTTTGCTGCCAAAAATGTTCATTCATTACCCTTCATTTTCTTAGAAGACCCATTTTCACATAGCTTGCTATTAAATATGCTCTGTCTGCGTTTCCTTTATGATTTTGTTATTTATGTTAATAGTATTTAGTCGGTATACATGTACTTGTTCGTTCATTCATTCATTCACCTTCATTGAATTTTGACAATGTTCCAAGTTCTGTGTTTAGATGCCAGGGAATAAGGAGGCATGGTTTCTGCCTGTTAGGAATTTCGCAGTTCAGTGGGGAAGAAAGACGAGCGGATGAATTGTTACAGTAGAGTGTGGTGAGTTTCTTGATAGGGTGCTATGACATTGCTGATATTAATATTAGAGCAGGTTGGGCTTCCCTGGTGGCGCAGTGGTTGAGAGTCTGCCTGCTGACGCAGGGGACACGGGTTCGTGCCCCGGTCCGGGAAGATCCCACATGCCGCGGAACGGCTGGGCCCGTGAGCCATGGCCGCTGAGCCTGTGCGTCTGGAGCCTGTGCTCCGCAACGGGAGAGGCCACAGCAGCGAGAGGCCCGCGTACCGCAAAATAAAATAAAATAAAATAAGATTAGACCAGGCGTCAGGGAAAGTTACCCTGAACAGATGATAACTGAGTTGAGAACTGAAGGATGAAGAGTTGCTAGCCATGTGAAGAAGCAGATAATCGATGGGGTTCAAGGTGGTGGAGTGGCCAAAGGAAGACCAGAAGGGTCAGACCATTTAGAATATACCCCGCCCAAGAAGTCACCCTCAGGCCACCTTCTCACAATGGCCTGCTAACTGGTTTCCTTGACTTCAGTTTCCCTACTGTTTATCCTGCACTCCACGAGCAATTTAAGATCTCAAGGCTCTGTTTTCATCTAATTATTTCCCTCAGGGATGGAAGATAAATGTTATTCTAACAGCTAAGATCTCCCCCAACCATCGGCCCATGTCTCTTTCTAACCTGTCTCCTCCTGTTCTCACGTATGAATTATATTCATCACTGATGCTGGTTCCTTGACTGCCCTTATTTCTGTTCTTTCCTCACATTCAATTAACCTAAACCTTGCATCAGAGAATGTAGAGATAATTAAATATGTCAATTCTTTACCCTCTTCTTAGCTAAAATTTTGGCTATGTCTGTACCCAACCCCTAGTTCCATCCCTTTTGTTTCAGGGGAAAAGACATATTTTCTCCTTCATCTTTCTGACCTTTACTATATGTGCTCCCTATGGATTTGTTCTCTCTCTCTCTCTCTCTCTCTCTCCCCCTCTCTCTGTGTTTTACTAGGTGATTTCATCCATATCTGTGGCTTCAGTTACTACTCAATGACTGACGAATCCAGAAGCAATGTCTAGCTAAGACTTACCACCTAAGATCCCAGTCTGCATCTGCAGCTGCCCACTAGACCCACAACCTTATTCTAGGAAACACTGAGACTGGAATTAGTCCTACTCTTCAGCTTGAAGGAAATCATTTTAATTACGTGGAAATCGATTCATCAACTTTTATTCATGCAATAATAAATGGTTAGGCTTCCCTGGTAGCTCCGTGGTTAAGAATCTGCCTGCCAACGCAGGGGACACGGGTTTGAGCCCTTGTCCGGGAAGATCCCACATGCCGCGGAGCAACTAAGCCCGTGTGCCACAACTACTGAGCCTGCGCTCTATAGCCCGCGAGCCACAGCTACTGAGCCCATGCGCCACAACTAATGAAGCCCACGTGCCTAGAGCCTGTGCTCCGCAGCAAGAGAAGCCAATGCAATGAGAAGCCCACGCACCTCAACGAAGAGTAGAGCCCGCTCACCGCAACTAGAGAAAGCCCGTGCACATCAACAAAGACCCAGCACAGCCAAAAATAAATAAATAAATTTTATAAATTTATAAATAAATGGCCATCAATGCCAGTGGAGTCCTGAGATCCAAGAATATGTGCTGTACACGCTTTTCAGTCTCATGGAATCCTCCTGACAGCTCTGTGTGGTGGTGTGATTGTTATTTTCACTTGACAGGTAAGTCATTAGTATTTGAGAGGTAAAGTTATAATTTCCTCCAGGCCAAATGGCTCCTACTTAACAAATCCAGTTACAAACAGAGGTCTAAGTATACTTCAAAATCCTGCTTTTAAATACCTCATATACTGCTTTCAAATAAAAATGCTTTTTTTTTTTTTTAAAGCATTGTGCAGTAACCTGTGTTCATCTCATTCATCTCATCTCATCATAACAGGTAAATATGTTGTTTATTCTCCTGTTTTGCCAACTAGAAGCTAGAAGGCAAGGAACATGAGGAGAAGCTCTCAAATTAAGTGTGTTCACACAGTGAATGGCAGATCCAGGAATTAAATTCACACGTAGTAGTGCACGTTATATCACATAGTGAAACAGCACAGGCTACCAAAGTGAAATCGTAAAAATCAGACTCTTGCTTCTGAATATGTATTTCAAACTTTAATAAAGTTTGAAGACTGTCTACAATATTGATATTAAACTATTATTTACTGTCGTTTTACTAAACTCACATAGAAGCAGGAACTAGTAATTCTCAAAGTCGCTAATGAAGCCTGCCTTTCTCTTTTTAGTATTATTCTAAAATGAGCATCCTTAGGAATTATTCTCTTTTCATACATTATGACGCTACCACTCATTCGTGATCTGTTATCTGTGATGACAAAATGAACTATTACTGCACAGTTTGTTTTTTTCCCTAGAATGAGAGCTTATTGCTGAGACAGCTCCCACGAACAGGCAGATAACACAGGCTTCAAATGACAGAAAGAGCAAAACCCAACATATAAAATGCCTTACAAACTTAAGCAAAGAAAGATAATTTTTTTCCTGAATAATAGAAGGTCATGAAAAGAAACAGTATTATGTTGATTGCTTAAGGTCAATCTAGAGACACGGGATTTTATCCTTGCGGACAAAGATCTCTACCCTGATCCTATGAACTCTCTCACCGGGTCGTAGTAAAAGAAGTCTTATCCCATGTTGTTGACAAATCAAAAAAAACACACAAAAAAATCTCTATAAAGAAGTAATGCTAAGTGACAGAGTAAACAGGAAGAAGATAAAATGATAAATGTTAAAGTTGATAAACTCTTGAGGTGATGGATGTTAAAATTTATGGAAAAGTTCCTAGTTCTTTTCAAAGACCAATACAAAGTGGTACGATTTCTCAATTTTCCCCCAGAAGTGATAGACTTAAGAAACATAGGTAGTAGCAAATATAAGCTTTCATCAGTATTTGTATCACTTTTGTTCCCAAAGAAAACATTGTCACAATTCCCTAATTGAGAGTCCCTGGGTGACTTCACTCTTGGTTGGTAATTGGGACTCTGCCACAGGCCAATAGCTCCTGACAGATAGCTTCTGCTGTTGAAGGAGTGACCCCTGGTACAGAGCTGGACATCTGACAGGTTCTCACAAACACATTTCAGTACAGCTTCGTAGTTAGCTCCCTGGCTTTGTCTAAATACATCGTGTAACCAAATCATCCTTAGATACGAAGTTCTGTGCTCCTGACTCTTTCTCATTTTAAAGTCATGTCTCCCTGTCTTGACTGTGGGTCACGTGGTCTCACTGTGCTGTATGCAATATCGTGTTAGCAATTTGAAATGTGATTTAAGGAGAGGTGATAAAATCTTGCTTGAAAGCTGTTCTTGAGTCTCTTCTCAGAAATATTGAATTTAGATACTGATTGATAAATCAGAAAGTCCCAGTGTCCTGTCTGAAGTAGTTTGGGACCTAGAACTGAAAGAAAATTTGTGAAAAGTGTTGTAGTATGCACTTAGGTAACAATTGATTGAAATACATCTTTCTAAAACCCTTATCACATCAAATTAAATTTGAAATGTAAGCATTCAATTTCACAAAAGCTCAAGTTTTTCCTTTTAAAAATTATCTCTAATAATTTATTATGACTTAATATCCAAAATGTCAGTCATGATGATATGCCCTTGGAATCTCTCATACTTACATTTAGAAAACAATTATCTGCTCAATAGTTATGGTCTTTAGAAAACATGTGAGCCCTTACATATAAAATAATTATCCCACAAAACCTGTACACCTTGGGTTAGCGATTATTATGTTTTAAAGACGTTTGGTTCATTTGGGAATCTGATTAATGGGATAAACCTATCCTTAGAAAGGTTCTCCTTTGAATTCCTACTTTTTTTTTTTAAGTCAAGTTCCATGGGCTAATCAGTGTTTAAACCATTATCTCCCCATCCTTTGGTCATTCAGTTGTGGTTCTGCTAAGCAGCCATTGCTCTTACCAGCCATGGAGAGCCATCCTTTAAGAGGTCTCTCTTTACTGCCTCAGAATAAAGGAAGCTGACTCAAGTCTGGAGGTATCTCTGTAGCCTGCGTGATAACATTACAACAAAAGGCCATCCTAAAATATAGAGTACACAGTCCATTTCTAGCCTAGAAAGATGAATTCTTTTGAGAAGTTCAAACTAGCCTTGCCATTAGCTACTAGTACAGTTAATAACAGGATTTATTCACATGTAGCTCATCAAAGCAAAATGGTGACTACTATTTATTGAGAACCATTTATGTTATGAGTGCTTCATATATATCATCTGGGATTTCCAAGACATTCCATCAGAGTAGTTGGTATCATACCTATTTCATAGATGGGGAGCTAGGCTCTGAAAGGTCTAAGTAACTCACTCAAAATCACAGTTAGTAACTGGTTGAGATAGGATTTACTCCCAGGACCATGATGTTACAAAGGCCAGTCTCAAAAGCATCCTGATAACTTGACAGTATTTGAGAGGTGGCTAAATGGTTGTCTTAGGCAGGGTTTTCCATGCAGTTATGGAGGCTGGCAAGTCCGAAATCTACAGAGCAGGCCAGAAGGATAGAAACTCAAGGAAAAGTTAATGTTTCAGTCTTAAATCCAAAGGCAGTCTGGAGACAGAATTCGTTCTTCCCTAGGGGACCTCAGTGTTTCTCATAAGACCTTTAACTGGATGAAGCCTACCCAGATTTTGAAGAATAATCTGCTTTATTCAAAGTCAACTGACTTAATGTTAATTTCATTCAAAAACTACCTTCACAGTAACATCTAGACTGCTGTTTAACAAAGAACTGGGTACCGTGGTCTAGCCACGTTGACATGTAAAATTAACCACCACAATGATCATTAGACAGGAATGTAGTAAAGTGTCAGGTATCTGATCGGTGATTGACAGTTTCAGGGCCTTTCTGAGGTTCCATGAGTTTGTTATTCTACCCATGAGGCAAAATGCAGGTGATATGAGTGATTACAACCAAGCCAGGAGACATGTCCTCAAGGAGTTCACCATCAAATAAGAGAATCACCAGGAACACAGAAAAACCCCATTAAAGATGAAGTTCATGAAGTGGCTTTCTTGATTCTTATAAATAGATAGTGGGCCCTTGCCAATGTGTTTTGGTCTTGACCTCTTTCCTGAGCCGCAGTGGCTGACCAGTTCTCAGGATAAGGAAGCAGAGATCAGAAAGGTCAATATCATTAGTCAACAGGACTGGGCCTGAACTGAGATGTGTTATCTGACTCCCGGTCCTTTTCCTGCTGTCTTGGCTTCTGCTTCTACTTTATCAGTCCAGTGCAGTTGGACTAACTGAATGATTCTGGGCGTGAAATCAAAATTTGTGTGTAAGTCTGCCCTGGACTTCTAGTTGAATCCAGAGCTATTTAAACATTCTTGACCAAATAGTGACCCTCTTGTTTTAGGCTGTGTGCTTTTATTGCACGTTCAGTTTCAGGAGAAGAGTATGGGGAGTGGATAGTGAAGAAGGAAGAACTTGCGAAGAGAAGGTCGACTTACAGACTCTGGTGTGATGGATGCTGCCATCATAGGACCTTCATGTCCATGATCTAACCTTGACCTGTGATGCTCCCATGGAAGAGGGTTTTGCTTGTTGCTTGGGACCCCTTGATGAGACCCAAACCTGGGAGTAACCCTGCAAGCATTTCAAGTATCAAGTCAGTTTTTAGCAAATATGATGAATATGCTCCCCCATCCTGGCCTGATCCAAAATTATTCTTCCAAGAAGTCTCAGCCCAGTGGCTGGAAAATAAATGATCCTCTTTTATTCCTAACCAGATTTATTGTGCCACTTGGTTTACAGTCACTTCTTCTTGCTAAAGATCCCAAATCATGACCTGAAGAACAGCAGCAAAATTTTATTAGTAAGACTTTTAATAAACATTTTAAATGTACTTTTAAAATAAGACATTAAAAATCAAGCCAGTCTTCTGAAAAATAAATCAGCCCCCAGCACCTTAGTGTTTCCAATGTAAAGATAAGACTTCAAAAACCAACTTACTTAAAAATCCGAACAGAAACTTCACACCTGCAGATCATCTTAGAAATGTGCAAAATGCAGACACATTTTTAACAAATATAGAAATAACATCCACACATTAGAAATAGAAACTGAGAAACATGAAATCTTACAAACTTGCAATAAACTTTAGGGATGAAAAAATTATATGGCCCCCAAAAGAACAGATCGGTGACTTTTTATCATTCTAATGCTAAGATGAGAAGACATTTACTATCTTTTCTAACACATTAATTTTTACATGAAGACATTTCAAAAATCCCTTGACTGAAAATATAAATTTAAAACATTAAAGATTTTTCTTAGGAAGGAGGTTTTGCTTTTGCAAAACTTGAATGCTGAGATTAATTGCATTAATTCCATGACATTATCCTATTTTATATTAACCTGCTCCTAACCTCTGACCTCATAACCATCATGGCGATTATAAGAGAATTGTTGAGCACCCAAGTGTAGTTAGCAAGAAATAATTAGAAAGCAATATATGATCAAGTATTAAGTAGTGTGTTAAAGTCTCTGAATGCAGCAGCCGTTTAGTTGAAGAGAGGCCAGTGGGAACAACCGGGGGAAATCATGGTAAATTCAGAATCTTCACAAAGGAAATGAAGTGTGCGTTGGATTCAACTGGCATATATAGATACAGCAACAAACTTCGTGTTCGTTAGGCTTTCAGTAAATAACAAGTGGAAAAAATGTTTTTTCAGTTTTTCAAAGTCATATGTGTATTTTATGGTTTGGTAATGCTAACCTAAGGATTAATACTATGATCACTCAAATAAAATTTAAGGGAAAGCAGTAAATAATTTTCAGTACTTCTTCATTAGCCGGAAACTTTAAAACACCAGCTAGTCAGCAATCTGTTTTTATTACCCAGATGTCCTTTATCTTGCTCCCATTTTTCATCCCCCTTGTCTTGCCCCGAGGCTGGCCCACCATACAGCTCCAGCGGGCAGTGTTCTCTCCTGTTCCAGTGGGTGGTGCCCTTGGACTCCCTTGAGTGGAGCCCCCGGGGCAATCCTGGGGAACTGATTCTCGTCCTTATCATTCCTTTTATCTGGTCACCTCCTTTCTGATGTTTTTCCATTCAAATCCACCTCCTAAACGGACACAATAATTATTTTCTAAAATTCGAATCTGACAGTTCTAATTCCTTATGTCACTCATTCCTTCCTTCATTTATTGATTCATCAAAAAAGTACCAAATTCCCCAGTACTCACAGTTTTTTATAAGAACCAGTGTACCTCTCAAAATTTTAAACTGCATGTCATAGCTTTTTTACTTCATTTCAACAAATATTTGATTATTATGTATAGGAACCATAGCCGATCCAGGAACACTCAGAACCTTCTTGTTGGGACCACCCCACCTCTCCAGACGCCCAGCTGTTCTTCACCTGGTAGGTGAAGAATTTTCACTTTTTAAGAATTTTCAGCTATTTCCTGTAAGCTGCTAGGCTGTTGTCTGACTCACAGCTTTAACATCTGCTATTACTTCTGCCTGAAGTTTCTTTTCTGTCTTTTCATCCGTCATGACCCACTAAAACATCTATGAAGCCAAACTGCAGGAGGGCAGGGGTTCTTTTAAAATTTTTTTTTATTAAAAATTTTTTAATTAGATTTAAAATTTTTTTATTTATTATTTTTAATTTTTTAGTTGAAAAAAGTTTTTTTAAGAAGTTCTTGTTCTTTGTTCCCTGAGATATTAAAAACACCTAGAACAGTGCTTGGCACATAGTAGACACTCAATGAATCTTTGTTGAGAGAGAAACCTTCAAGATGGCAGAGGTGGGCTTCCCTGGTGGCGCAGTGGTTGAGAGTCCGCCTGCCAATGCAGGGGACAAGGGTTCGTGCCCCGGTCTGGAAAGATCCCACATGCCGCGGAGCGGCTAGGCCCGTGAGCCATGGCCGCTGAGCCCGCGTGTCCGGAGCCTGTGCTCCGCAACGGGAGAGGCCACAACAGTGAGAGGCCTGCGTACCGCAACAACAACAACAAAAAAAGATGGCAGAGGAGTAAGACATGGAGATCACCTTCCTCCCCACAAATATATCAGAAATACATCTACATGTGGAACAACTCCTACAGAACACCTACTGAACATTGGCAGAAGACCTCAGACCTCCCAAAAGGCAAGAAACTTCCCAGGTACCTGGGTAGGGCAAAAAAAAAAAGGAAAACAGAGATAATAGGGCGGGGACTTGAACCAGTGGGAGGGAGCTGTGAAGGAGGAAAGGTTTCCACACACTAGGAAGGCCCTTCATGGATGGAGACTGTGGGTGGCAGAGGGGGGGAGCTTCGGAGCCACGGAGGAGAGCGCAGCAACAGGGGTGTGGAGGGCAAAGCAGAGAGATTCCCACACAGAGGATTGGTGCCAACCAGCACTCACCAGCCCAGGAGGCTTGTCTGCTCACCTGCTGGGAGGGTAGAGGCTGGGAGCTGAGGTTCGGGCTTTGGAGGTCCAACACCAGGGAGAGGACTGGGGTTGGCTGCGTGAACACAGCCTGAAGGGGGTTAGTGCACCACAGCTAGCCGGGAGGGAGTCCAGGAAAAAGTCTGGACCTGCCTAAGAGGCAAGAGACCATTGTTTCGGGGTGCGCGAGGAGAGGGGATTCTGAGCACCACTTAAATGAGCTCCAGAGATGGGCACAAGCCACGGCTATCAGTGTGGACACCAAAGACAGGCGTGAAACGCTAAGGCCGCTGCTGCAGCCACCAAGAAGCCTGTGTGCAAGCACAGGTCACTCTCCACACCTCCCCTCCTGGGAGTCGGTGCAGCCTGCCACTGCCAGGTCCTGCGATCCAGGGACAACTTCCCCAGAAGACACGCGGCGCGCCTCAAGCTGATGCAACATCACGCCAGCATCTACTGCCGCAGGGTCACCCCTCATTCCATACCCCTCCCTCTCCCCGGCCTGAGTGAGCCAGAGCCCCCTAATCAGCTGCTCCTTTAACCCCGTCCTGTCTGAGTGAAGAACAGATGCCGTCAGGCGACCTACATGCAGAGTCAGGGCCAAATCCAAAGCTGAACCCCAGGAGCTGTGTGAACAAAGAAGAGAAAGGGAACTCTCTCCCAGCAGCCTCAAGAGCAGCGGATTAAATCTCCACAATCAACTTGATGTACCCTGCATCTGTGGAATACCTAAATAGACAACGAATCATCCCAAAATTGACATGGTGGACTTTGGGAGCAACTGTAGACTTGGGGTTTGCTTTCGGCATCTAATTTGTTTCTGGTTTTATGTTTATCTTAGTTTAGTATTTAGAGTTTATTATCATTGGTAGATTTGTTTATTCATTTGATTGCTCTCTTCCTTTTTTATATATATATATATATTTTTTTTTTCCTTTTTCTCTTTTTGTGAATGTGTATGTGTATGCTTCTTTGTGTGATTTTGTCTGTATAGCTTTTCTTTCACATTGGTCCTAGGGTTCTGTCTGACTATTTTGGTTTTTGTGGGGTTTTTTGTATAGTTTTTAGCACTTGTTATCATTGGTGGATTTGTATTATGCTTTGGTTGCTGTCTTCTTTCTTTCTTTCTTTTTATTTTTAATTTTTTTATTTTTAATATTTTTTTTATTTTAACAACTATTTTCTTCCTTCCTTCCTTCCTTCCTTCCTTCCTTCCTTCCTTCCTTCCTTCCTTCCTTCCTTCCTTCCTTCCTTCCTTCCTTCCTTCCTTCCTTTCTTTCT